CCTAAGACTAGAAAGAGTCACAAAACATTTTAAATTATAAAGGCTTAATTTAAGACATGAAGAAAAAAATTATCATCACCTACCCAGGCCCTAAACGTGTAGATATACAGGGACTGACCTTGGCCAGTAGGAAGCAGCATTTAATACTTTATATGCAGGCCTCATTTGATCTTACAGGGATCTCAGGAGTCCAAAATTAAAGGAGACACAAAAAAATCAACAACCAGCAAATCACCCCAACCACAAGATAGTGGGTCTGGACTGACACTGTGGTGTGTCAGTCTCCGAAAGCTGTGTAAACTCTTGTCTATCAACACTCCCTGAAGTGAAGGAAAATACAGCAATTCCCAGGCAGCCCCAAGTCCTCAAGTCCTCAAGTGCCACCCTGTCATGTTACAATACACTCTAGAACAAATAGCAGATGGCAAACAACACCAGCCCTTCTTTTCTGTTCTTTCTTTCTTTTTTCTTTTTGTAAAAGCAAAGAGTCTTTATTCATACTCCGGGCTCGATCCCTCTGTCTGTCCAATGCAGTGGTGAAAGCAGAGAGCCCTGAGCCCAGGCAGGGTGGGATTTTTATCATAGCAGAAGCTGAGGTGAGGGGATTTCCAGGGTTCAGGACCCTGATTGGCTGACAATTGTCCTGGAGTATCTGTAAAACAAAAATAGGTGTGTGCTAGACTCAAGGACATCTGGCCACCTAATGGTTGGAATGTTAGGTACTTCCTCATCCCTGGGTGGATCCCTGGGTGGGGTCAGCTTGAGACTTTTCCTGAATCTGGATGTTACCTACCAGTAAGCCTGTCACAGAAGCTGTGTCTAGGCCCCTAAGCCTGTCATGGCTGCTGTGTGGTCAAGCTATTTTGGGGCCCTTTCACATTCCCCCCTTCATAAGTACCAATGACAGGACCCAATCATGGGTCCTGCCTGTTCATAGGTTCAAGGGGATGGTATTGGGACCTAAGAACCATTAGCTGAACAGTATTGACCCACTCTCGAATGAAGACAATCAATCTATTAATAAGGCAAGGGCCAAGTGTAAGCAAAAGAAGCAAAATTATTAAGCCTGCCCTTCTTTTCTTCCTTACCTTCTTAGATAGTAGTACCAGGATGTGGGGCCCCAAGGGAGACCAACTCTCATCTCTAGTTTATGAAATTATGTTTCAGGTTTTAAATTTTTATGATCGCCTTCTGTGTTCAAAATTACTAAAATTTCATCATTAAATAACCATAATGTACCTCCTAAATGGGCTACTGTAATATTTGGAATAAAAAAAAATACTTGACAAGATTCCTTTTAGTCGTGTTCTTCAGCTTTAAATCTTAAAAAAAGAAAATTAATTCAAATCGAGTTTAATTCCTTAGGGGGGAAACTTAACAGCTGAGCACTTGCCTAGCATGTGGGAAACCACAGGTCCAAGCAACAGCACCACAAATGTAGAGGAAGAGATGGAGGGACATTCTAGGATTTTGATACCCACATTTTAAAATTAAAGTGCTGAAAAGTGAACTGGTGCTAAAATCCCAATCTCAGCAGCCACTTCAAAGCATACCCAGTGAATAACCACAGCAAATACTGCCACGTCTCAGTTAGCACACAACAAACTCTTCCAAAAGCTACTTCCAACCTTTAACCTCAGATGTGGGGGTTAATACAGTCCACCTGACAGGGTCTGGAATCACCAGTAAGACAAGCCTCTGGGCCTACCCATGAGGATCACCTAGACTAGGGTAACTGAGATGGGAAGGACCTATCTTAGCGGTGTGCAGTACCTCTATGTGAGTGG